TAACCCGTTTCTGGACCTAATTTTACAACATGCTACCTCACATGTACCACTAACATGCGCCTACGATACAATCGAATGTATGCCAAAGTTATCCCTAATATATAAGATTATGCCTTCTCCCTTGCGACTTATAACTTATAACTTCTGATATAGATGTAGCCTGCTACGATAGGAGAACAGTCTATATCTACAGTGAGCCAAGTTTCTGTGACAACAATTATATCAGGACTTAGTTCATCCGCCATCATATTTAGCTCGGATGTTTTATTTCGAAGACTACAAGCATTCGTGGAGTACACATTTAAGGTGTTTTGAGAATCATACGTTCTACCCACACAGATCTCATAAGCATTGGCTTCAAAGACCTGACTACCCCAAAACCCTTAATCGCAATGTTCGTTTCGCCACATAGCTTTCGAATTCTTAACTCCGTAAGAGCATTCTTCCACTTGATTCAATTCTCAAGCGGTCAATCTGGCTTGATACGAATATTTGAATCACGCGCTCTGTATGCGTCATTCAATATTACGTCTCTTTCCTCATAGTTCTCGAGTGCTAATTTCAAGTTCCTTCCTTGTTGTGTCTCGCAGTTTCAAAATGAATCAGTTTCAGTTTTCAGTTTCAGTTTGGAAAGGACAGGAGGCTTGGTGGCCTGTGTTAGTCCTGGCAATGATGGTCTCTCAGCTGATCCAACTTTCTTTTGAAGGAGTCGACGGATGGAGCCTCAACCACGTGCTGAGGTAATGAATTCCACTCGTTGATTATTCGATGGGAAAGTCGGTAGTCAGCTGACAAGTAATTCGTTCTGGGCTTGTGAACTTTTTTGGAATGTCCTCGTAGATTTTCTGTTTTGGAAGACAAGAAAAATGAGGGCATATCAGGTGCAAATTTGTCATTTAGCAATTTGAAAACTATAATCAAGTCACCTCTGATTCTTCTATATGACAGCGGGAATAGGTTTAGCTTGGTCAGTCTAGTACCATACGGGAGCTTCGCTATTCCGGGAATCAGCCTAGTTGCTGTTCTCTGAACTCTTTCCAAGAGTTCACTGTCTTTTTTTAGGCAGGGGTTAGCTGCTTGTATACAGTACTCAAGTTTAGGGCGTACGAACACTGTATACAAAGTCAGAAACGTTTTAGCGTCAAGATGCCTAAAAGCCCTGCGTATGGACCATAAAGTCCTAAAACCTTTGGCGGCTATTGCACGGCAGTGTGCAGTAGTCTTTAAGTCTTGACTAACGATGACGCCTAAGTCATTGTGTGCCTGAACAATAGGTAACTCAGTGTTATTCATCGTGTATGTATCTGTACCCTGATGGCCAATATGCATCACAATACACTTGGAAGTGTTTATCGGCAATTGCCAGGTTTGGGACCATTCAGATAATCTCTCCAGGTCATTTTGAAGTTCTAAGCTATCGCTCTTGCTTTGTATCGCTCTCCATATCTTGACATCATCAGCATAGAGTAACACCGATGACGATAGTAGACGAGGGAGATCATTTACGTACAGGAGGAATAACACTGGCCCCAAAACTGTACCTTGGGGGACTCCACTAAGCACAGTTTCCCAGCTAGACAACTTGGAGTTCACCCTTACTCTTTGTTGACGCCCAACTAGGAAGCCTTTTATCCACATCAATAGATTGCCTCCAATCCCGACATTCCTTAGCTTATATAACAGCCGGTTATGCGGAACTTTGTCAAAGGCTTTGCTGAAATCGATATAAGCTACGTCTATAGGTAATTTTTGGTCCTTAAGAGCGCACCAGCTTTCACGAGCGACTAATAAGTTTGTGAGACAAGAGTAACCTGTTCTAAAACCATGCTGCTTTTCGGAGAGGATCCGGTTTTCATCGAGATACTTTAACAGTTCCTTCCGAATAATCTTTTCTGAGATTTTAACAACCACACTAGTTAGGCTAATTGGTCGGTAATTCTCGGGCTTATGTTTTGTACCTGTTTTGAAGACTGGACTTACTATGGCGTTCTTCCAGTCTTTTGGTAGACGACCCTGGGTTACGGATAGATTAAAACATACACTTAAAGGGTTCGCAACAAAGTTAGCTAATTCCTTTAGTAACCTAGGATGCAGTTCATCGGGTCCAGTGGATTTACCTATGTCAAGCTTAACTAGCAGACCAAAAACATCGAGTTCTTCAATGGTTACGCTGTCCAGTGCTTGTGTGGGTGGATTTTCATGGACTGGTGAGAAAGGTGTTTCTATGGTGTATACATCGCTAAAGTATTTAGAGAATACTTGAGCTTTGCCAAAGTCATCCTCCACTAGTGATGTGGCAGTACTGTCTCCCCATAATGAGGGAACATTTCTTCTCCTTTTTGTCCTTTGGTTTATATACGAATACAAGCGTTTAGGGCATTCTATGGATTCCCTTACGATTTTCTCTTCGTACAGCTTTCTGGCCTTACGGAGGGTCGAGGCACAGGTATTTCGAGCCTTTTGATACTGAGATTTCGCCTCGTCAGTCCCCAGTAACCTAAATCTGTCCCACATTTTCCTTCTTTTACGGAGAAGGATGCGAACCTCCCTACTGAACCACGGTGGGGAGTTTCTCGGTCTCTTAGGTGTAGTCCAAGGGATGTGGGGGGCGGTAACTTTTAACTATAAATTCCGGAATACGTCCCAAGCCGTTTCGATTGATGACTCTGGATCTAATTTCCAATCTACTAATGATGCTGATTTCATGATGTCTGCTATGTTTGCTTTCCAGACGTTAGGTCTGGATTGAGCTGAAGCGTACTCATGATCGACAGTTATATGGAAGTCAAAGCTTAAAACTGCATGATCACTTTTGCCTAGGGGTGGCATGTAATCCAGGTTTGCAACATCATCCTCATAATGAGTCAATATAAGATCTAGTAAGGATGATGCAGAACCCGGGTCGTACCTAGTTGCTTCCTTCACGTGTTGCACTAGAGCACAAGTGATTATCGCATCAACTAGTTCCTGTTCGAAGGAGTTTGCTGGCGATTCAGTCCGCAGATTTCCCCAGTCCACCATGGGTGCATTGAAGTCCCCTAAGATTAGACATCGATCACTTCGTGATAAAGTGTTGAGACTGCTTAGCAGGACCTCGTTTGCCTCACAGCTTGGACTGCGATAGATCAAACTAAGTAGTAACTCTTGTCCCCTGCATTTCAGGCGGCAGCAAACTAATTCATACGTCCCACTCTCATGGGATACACTGTCGATAATGGTGAATGGAATAGCATTCCTAATGAATAGAGCTACTCCCCCTCCTTTACGCGTTTGTATTCTATCGGCCCTTACCAATGTAAAACCCTCGAAATCAAGTTCCCTACTATCTATAGACGGCGTCAGCCATGTTTCTGTGACTGCGATTATGTCTGGCCTAGTTGAGTCAATCTGTACACCTAGTTCCGGTAGCTTATTTAGTAAGCTCCGGGCGTTGGTATGACAGATCCGAAGCCTATTTAGGTGGCCTCGTGCTTCACCCAGAGTGGCTTCGGCATCATCCTCTGTCGAAGCCTCACAACCCGAAAATTTACAATTTTCAGGTCTTTTTCGCCAGCGTCTAATCTGAGCTGTAGTTCCTTTTCGGCTTCCCGTCTTTTAACACGGTCCGCCAACGGTAAGTCCTTACGGAGAAAAACTCCTGAACCCTTTAATTTGTGTCCATTTTCTAAGATTAAGTCGCGTTCGTTTGAGGATTTGAAAACGACTTTGAGTAGTCTAGACTGATTTGGTTTTAGATGCGCTAGATTTCCTAATCTATACACCTTTAGCAAGGTGACTCCGGGGATGTTTTTGGGCATAACTTGGTTGAGTAGTTGTTTTATCAACACAATGTCATGCTCAAAACGAGCTTTCGGTTCTAAGTTGTCACTCTCCTTGACTCTATGGAGAATGACTGATCTGTCGCTGTGATCAGACCTCGGCTTGTCGACCCTTTTGGTGGGGGTATGACTTCCTTTTACGTCATTTTGGCGTTTTTTTCTTACGATCCGTACCCAATCGCCAACGTTCTTTGGAGTGGTAACCACATTCGCGTCAGGCGTACTGTGGGATTCCGGAAGAGTCAGGACGACTTGGGAGATCGGGTCATCTTTCGCGCTGGAAACCGATCGAGCCTTGCGGTTTCGGCTTCCTGAAGTTCCCTTCTGGGTACCATTTTTGATACGAGGGACAGAAGAGACTTTTTTGCGCGAGTTTCTGGTTGTAACAGTCCTCTTTGGAGGATGTTCTTCCTCCTTAGTAGGGTGTGGGTCGGCAGTTTTTGGACTCACTTGGGCCTGCCTTGTGTCAATCTGCGTGTCGACAGATTGAGTTCTGACTGATGTATCCCGACCGCGCTTGCCGAGACACTTTTTTGCGGCATTTACTATTGAAATGGCCTCGGTTAGCAGGCTATTTGCATCCAAACAGCACTGTTGACATAGCCATACACATCCATTTTTACTAAACCGCTTGAAAGCTGCAGGTGTTAGATTCGTGCAAACATCGTGGTACCAACCTTTGCACTCATCGCACTGCATGCCGCTATCAACAGGATATCGACATCCTGGGCGGTGGCAAATACTTTTGTTGCATCTTCCAGTCATTTTAAGATGCGAAAGTGAGTGTTGACTATAAGTAGAAAAAAAAAACTATAAACAGTTAGGACCAAAGTACTAACAGACACAATGGAAAAAAAAGGCACTCTGGAGTACCGACGATAAAACTATTTAGGATACCAAAGATGATACTCTAATAGAATACTTTAACTGAAAGAAATTCAATCAAAGTATAAAAACAGTAGTCTTGATACGTTAATAACGATCAAAACAATAGAATTTACTCAACGAGGAAAAATACCACTGTCCTTTTTAAATAGCGCGCGAGGGATGTGGCAAGAACCACATTTTTCCACGATCCAAACGCTATCTCACTACCCAGATACAGATCTTAACGGGTAAACAGCTCAATAACCATGCTTATCAAAGTTTGGAGTTTAGATGTCAACAACTTTCAAGGTTAGGGTCGCTGTTAACTCAGGGTTGAGATAGCGAGCCCGGAATTTTTGGCGCAAAATCCATCTGTACATTTGTCTAAATAGAGTTTTGGCATCAAAGCTGATTTCAGTTCGTGATGAAAACCCTAAATCTAATGTTTCACCCTAGCCATAAACTTTAAATCATAATTCTAACTGGTTTATAAGCCTCGTTCGGTCCTAATCAGTAGGTGTTCTTTCTCAAGGTTACTTAAGCGTCGTCCATAAAACAGTCTCACCACTTACATAACCTTTCTGTCTTCGCTTCCTCTTTCATGTAATAAAAGTGGCCTTTCGTGGTTGACTCCTAAACTTTGGGACCTTTTCCACTAAAATTAGACGTTAAAAGTTTCCATGCTAGTAGATGTTTATAATAATAATTAATAATTCTAATAGTGTTTACAATTCACAAATAGGATTACTTTCTATACTGTCGTAGAATTAAAACAACTTTTTTTGGCAGCCTTCGTCAACGTTAATTTGACCTCTAAATCCGGTTTTACTATATCAGATAAAATAGTCATAGCTTGTGATTGGTTGGTTATCAATCAGCTTAGTTATCATTGACATCTAAAAAGTAAAGCAATTATAAACTAAATCAGTTGACAGATAAATGTATCTCAAGCATCTGATTGTTGAAGGCATTTAGCGCTTCCAATTCTTCAGGGAACTGTAAGGTAGATAATCATCCCTTTGATTATCAAGTATCATCGTTTTTAGTAGCAATATCATCTGTCTCACATTCACTGGCATTTCAGCAACGGTGGTTGGAAGTTTGTTCATATTTACATTTATTTTTTAGTAAACTATGAGACTGAATGTTGCTTCAAAGCAACCTTACTCATCCCAAATTGCTCTGCTACTTTGCATCGAAGTGCCGGATGACAATAACTGCTTTGCTTGGACTTATACAAAGTTTTAGAAATGACAGTTATTTTCCAATTGAAGAGTCTAGAGTTTCTGATAGCTTAAACTTAGGGTATTCAGCTTGACTGTACCCAGCCTACATTTCTGCGACATCCAAGTTCAAAGGATCATACAAGTAATCAGACTTTCTGTTTCTGCCAACAATGAGCGGAAATAACGCACTTGCCGTTTAGATTTATCTGTGTACAGGGACAAGGTGCTCGCATTATAGCAGTTATTGTATCCAGTGGCTGGACCAGGTCAGACGCACAACTGAAATCATCTATAGGATAATGATTAGCCCCAAATGTCCTGGTACGGCCGAGAGTGGGGAGCGTCAGCTCTTTCTCTCTCGAGATGCTCTCACATAGCCACGTGCATACAACTACTACCAGGGAAATCCTACTCACTGCCTTCTCGCATCGGGAGTATTGTTTACGGAGTTGAGATGAAAAGAATGTTCGGGGCTTTAACCGGGTTGGTGAATATGGAGGATCTATCTATATGAGTTGAAAAACCCTGATTTCAAACTAATGGTGCACATGGAATTCAGGATCTTGAAAAGACAAATGGAGTGTGAACCTATCGTTGGTCATTGGCTACCATGAGACTGCATCTCCTTACGTTTCCCCCACTGCCTTGTGGATTAGACGTTTAGGTCAAAGGCTCGAGACGTGGCCCCCTAAGAAAACCGCCTGTTTCGGTTCGGGCAACCGGGCAGTATCTCACCCCTCACGCAAATCGAATGATTTTTGTGGCGTATATCTATTTGGTGCTTCCCTGTACTTATGTTTATGTTTAAATAAATAAAATAAATAATGCTTTTGTAAAAATGTAAAACTTTAAAACAGAACGTTTAACAATCGGCTAACTGTCGTCTATATCCACCTTGTTCGTTAACTCGACATTCAGGTAAATGTATTTCTGATTAATAAGGCACTTGATCACTGCAACAAGGATCTCTTTTCTAACCAATCCATTACTTAGTCTGCTTCAAGAGAGTTTTCTAGTTGATAATATTGAAACGCTAGTTAACTACGATTCTGAATGATGTCAACCGAGTATCTTTGCAAGTAATAACCTAGTTCTTAAAGTCGTGCTGTATTTTTCATGTCTTCTGTTTTTCTAAAATTTCAGACCTTGTGATATCCTCAAAAAGTGTAATGAAGTTGGCATTTGTTGGATGAGTTTACCCATAATATAAACAATATATCATTTCTCTTTAGGTAACTGGGTCAAACAAGGGCATTGGATATAGCATTGTTGAAAAGCTTGCAGAGTTTTACGGGGCATCAGGAGAGTGGGATATTTATCTAACAGGTGAGAAGTTGTTAGTTCATAATTTAACAGCTCGAAATGTTGAGCTTGGTCAGGAAGCTGTGAAGAAGCTCAGTAACAAGGGTTTGGATGTAAAATTCCATCAACTAGATATAACGGACCAAAATAGTCGAAAAGCGTTCCTGACATTTGTAGAGAGAAACTATCCTAATGGAATCAACATTGCAGTGAACAATGCTGGAATTGCCTACAAGGTTTTTGTTCTTTTACTTTATATTATTCAAAGGCTAACTCCACGGCTCCCTTTGGCGAACAAGCACGAGTTACGGTGAACACCAACTTTACATCAACTATTGATTTCATGGAGGAGTTTATTCCTTTGCTGGCTAAACATGCTAGGTACTATTTTATATTAAATTATATTTTTCAGGGTTGTCAATGTATCTAGTTCTATTTCTCTGACCAGTCTCAAGAAACTTAGTGATGGTCTGTACGGAAAATTCGTTAGTCCAATAAGTCTTTTGGAACTTCGAAAGCTCGTCTCCGAGTTTGTAAAGTACGTCATTTTATTATAATTTAGGGCATAATAAATCAATAGAGCGAATGGTTCAACCAACAATCAAGATTACCATAGTTACATCAAGTAAACTGTCATGTCACTTAGGTGCAACTTTTTTGTATATAATCCACAGTGAGTTACTGGAATAGCATTCTGTTAGGGCATTTATTTATTTCTTTATATAAACATAAATATTGGTACAAGAAATCACCAGATACATATGCGCCGCACAAATCTCACTTGATTTGTGTGAGGGCTGTGTTACTGCTCGGGTGTCCAGATCGAAGCAGGTGGTTTTCTTAGGGGCCCACACCCCGAGCCTTTGACCTAAAGGTCTGATCTACAAAGCAGTGGAGTATCGTGAGGAGATGCAGTCCCATGGTAGCCGGTGATCAACAGTTGGTTCATACACTATTTGTTCCTTCAGGATACTAGAGCCCATGTGCACCATTGGTTTTGAATCATGGTTTTCCAACTTCCCTAGGTGAACCAACCCGGTTAAAGCGTCAGACGTTCGCTTTTCGTCCTCTCAATTTCGTGAACAACACCCGTGGTGCGAGAAGGCAGTGAGTAGGACTTCCCTGGCAGTGGTTGTATGCACGTGGCCATGTGAGGGCATTTGGAGAGGGAGAGCGAACACTCCCCACTCTCGGCCGTACCAGGGCATTTGGAGGGGTACCTTTATGTTCTTTATGTAATTGAAAAATGCATACAAAATCATCAAGCTCTTATCTCACAGTCTCTTTACGTAATCGATTTGATGTGTAGTAGCAAAAGTAAAATATGATTGGTCAGTTGGCGTGGACAAAAAGGCACTTCGCCTATGGACTACTGAATATGTGACATTCTTTCCTGTCATTGATTTCTACTCCGGACTCACTGAGCGTAACTGCTTGTTGTTGTATTGAATAAAGTATTATCTAGTGTAATCTGGTTCCCTATTCTGAGTTGTGCATCCTGAATCTTGTATGACGTGGCTAGCCTCTTTATCGTATTGACATAGTATTGTAGAATACGTAAGAGTGAAAAAATATGTGAAGCCATCCGTTATATAGCTATAAGAAATCCGTGTAACTTACAGCGCATTTGTTCCAGAATATCCTGATTGTCAGCAGAACCGAAGGGATGTTCCATTTTTTGGGAATTACTAACCTTCATGCTTCGTACCGATCCATAGTGGGTCATAAATTGTCATCAAATTATAACCAATATGGAACTCTTATCACTGTTTAATATTTTAGGGATTTAAATGCCCCTTTGGTTGTTTCACTTTGATTTTGATAGAGTTGGCAAAACGTTCATTGTTTTAGTCACCTAATCTGGGTTTTTTTAAAAGGTTTTGTTGTATTCCTTACGTTGACAATTGTTATTTTTGTTTCAAGTCAACCTGACTTCAAGATCCCTCAACTCTGAGGGGAGAATTTAAATGGTTTTTATGGTTAGCGTTTTTTCATCAGGATTGCTTTTATGTGCACTGCGGTCACGCTCTCAGGTCATTAAGACCACTTCTAACCCAATTTCGTCTTCAGGTACCTCTAGAAGAACCCTTCCACGGTGTGGGCAACCGGGAAGTGATAACTGCCCTCATACCTCTAACAGCACTCAAGACCACTGTATTCATAATCAATCTCCTCCTTCACTCCCCACTATTCCTTCTACCTCAACTTTCAACACTAAACTTCCTCTTTCGGTTTCCTCCTCAAGTGTCACCATGGCCAACGAATCTAGTGCGCCAAACACTGTCCCAGGTCTACTAAAACCTCGCTCCAAACTACACATTGGAGCCTTCAACGTACGTACCCTAAGTCAAATCAGTCAACAGGCCTCCTTGGCTGAGACCCTAGAATCTCGTACCATCGATGTATGCTGTGTCTCCGAAACACGCATACAGGATCCCAGTGTGGTCATTCACTTGACCTCACCTCGCCAAAATGGACAGCCAACGAAATACACCCTCGTGTATCTGGCGACCCCATGACTAGTTCTCGTGGACTTGCAGGTGTACGCATAGCACTAAGTACAAGGGCAGAACAGGCACTATTAGAATGGATCCCCGTTAACAGTCGTCTGTGTGCTGTCCGGCTGAATGACTCCGTAAGAACTCGGAAGGACAGGGACACACGTCGTTGCATTTTCGTCGTTTCTGCCTACGCTCCTACTGACTGCAGCCATAATGAGGTGAAAGATGACTTTTACAGAAAGCTCTCTGAGCTTCTTCAGAAAGCTAAGCGCTCAGACATAGTAGTCGTAGCGGGTGACTTTAATGCCCAAGTAGGCAGCTTAAATCAAACAGAAAGACATTTAGGTGGGCATTTTAGTATTCCAACTCAACGAACCAATAATGGTGATCGTCTGTTGCAACTATGCTCAGACAATCGTTTATTTTTTAGCAAACACTAACTTCAAACATAAGGAGAGACATCGCCTAACATGGCGACCACCTGCACCAAACCAACGATGGACTCAAATAGACCATACTGCCATCAGCCATCGTTGGATAGGCTCGATAGAAGATTGTCGCTCGTATTGAAATACTTGTTTAGACTCTAACCACGATTTAATACGAGCACGCATTTGTCTGCGCCTCAATGGACGCAGGAAAAGTACACTAAGAAGACCCATTAGGATTGAACTGGAGGATGAGGAATCCAAATGTAAATTCCAGGAACAACTGAGTTCACATCTAGGCAGTTCTGTAAACGAGACTGACCCAGATGCTGCTTGGAAAGACATACGAACAGCTGTAGAAACAGCAGTCACATCTATTAGTAATTTAAACCATAGGGTTCCAAAAAACCAATGGATCTCTTCCAAGTCTATTTCACTTATGGATTCCCGTAAATTCATCCCATCAGGCTCTGAACACGACGGAGAGCGTAAAAAAATCAAATGTAGGTTGACTAAAAGTCTAAGGAACGATCGTGAGCGGTGGTGGGCAATGAAAGCAAAAGAGATGTAAAAGGCAGCGGCTGTAGGCAACACCAGGCAACTCTTTAGACTAATAAAAGAAACCGGAATTAAGAAGTCAAGTGTAAGTGAGACAATCTCGGAAAAAGACGGAAGTCTTATCTGCTCTCAGCCTAGACGTTTATAACGATGGGCAAAACACTTTAAGGAGCAGTTTAGCTGGCCTTCAGCTACTGCACAACTACCCGCTATTCCTAGAAAACCTGAATGGAACATTGAAGTAGGCCCCCCGACCCTACTTGAAGTTCAAAAGGCTATAGGTAATCTGAAACGAGGAGGAGCAGCTGGTCCTGACGGATTGGTTCTAGAGGTCTTTAAATATGGTGGCCCAATTTTAGAGACTAGGTTGACTAATATTTTGACTAAAATCTGGGAGTTGGACGTAATCCCATCCGACTGGTCATAATCACTGATTGTCCCAATATATAAGAAGGGGTTCAAATCATCCCGCGATAACCATAGAGGGATTAGTCTGACCAACATAGCATCTAAAATACTAGTCTCAATAATTATTGGGCGCCTAACTAAGACTCGTGAACTGCAAACACGAGAAAATCAGGCTGGCTTCAGACCTGATCGTGGCTGTATCGACCACATATTCACCATTCGTCAAGTTTTGGAGCACAGACATGCTTATCGGCGTCCGACAATGATAGTTGTGCTTGACTAGAAAGCAGCATTTGACTCTGTAGACCGAGAGGTTCTGTGGCAGTGTCTGTCATTGAAAGGTGTACCTCGGAAGTAAATAAACCTTGTGAAGGCTCTTTACTCGAACACTATTAGTCGAGTGAGAGCTTATGGCGAGCTGTCATCTGATTTTACAACCTCAAGCGGTGTCCGACAAGGCTGTCCATTATCCCTATTTTTGTTTAACTTCATTATAGACCTGTTGCTGGAAATAACACTATCGTCGACTGAATTTTCAGGAATTGATCTCCTACCAGGGGGTCCACTAAGCGACCTAGAATACGCAGATGACATAGTCCTGTTTGATGAAGACGCTGGAAAAATGCAGAGTCTTCTGTTAGAACAGAGTAATAATGCCAGGATGTTTGGGATGCGTTTCTCCCCAACCAAATGTAAATTGTTACTCCAGGACTGGTCTGCGTCAACACCTGAACTAAGGATAGGGAGCGAAGTAGTCGAACGCATGGACAACTTCACTTATCTCGGAAGTCTGATCAGCCCTAATGGGTTGGTGTCTGACGAAATCTCAGCACGGATTCAAAAAGCTCGTTTGGCTTTTGCCAACTTACGTCACCTATGGCGAAGACGAGATATCCGTCTATCAATTAAGGGACGAGTATAGTGCGCAGCAGTTCGTTCTCTTCTACTTTACGGCTGTGAAACATGGCCATTAAGAGTAGAAGATACTCGTAGGTTACTAGTATTTGACCACAGATGCCTTAGAAATATTGCTCGCATCTGCTGGGATCACCGGGTAAGTAATAGTGAGGTTAGACGCAGGGTATTAGGGAACGATGGTAAATCAGTTGATGAGGTGATGAATCTTCATCGACTGAGATGGTTGGGCCATGTGTTACGTATGCCTGAACACCGATTACCACGACGCGCTATGATGAATAGTGTAGGGGATTGTTGGAAGAGAGTTAGGGGCGGCCAAACCAAAACATGGCATCAGTGTTTGAAGTCACTAACTTCTAGTCTGAGCCATGTTGACAGATGCAGACTACCTGGTTGGGGTCCGCGTGACTATCGTAACCAATGGTTGGAGACTGTGGGTGACATGGCTCAGAATCGATCACAATGGCGTAGGTGTATACACTCTTTATCTTCCCTTAAACCTTAAGATTAAAATGGCTTCATAACTTTCTTCCTTCCTATACTATATCCTTATATACAACCTATAATTTATATACTACCACCACCACTAAATTAATTATTTCTATGAATCCGGTGTTCATCTTGTTGTGCTAACGAGATATGGCAACTTGGACCGATGCATATGTGTGCCTGGTCCTACGTTGTAGCTGACTGACTGACTGAATTTCGGTTAAGCCCTTTTATTAACTTACTTTACAGACATAGTCATTTGGATGGTAACAATTCGCATATATCTTCGTACTGTTATGATCACTAGAACATATGACAGACTCTAGCCAAAACGTTGATTGCTTAAATATCATTCGGTGATTCATCCTCCTCTCCATATGTGTATGCACTCAAATCCTATTATTGGCTTTTGCTTTGTCTTGCTGCGTCCTTATACAATTTGACTATAAATTTGTCTATGTAATTGCTCGCGCTTGCTCACTGATACTTACTCATGTGATTGTAACTCTGTGGTCTGCGTCATTTGATAATAAACTGTAGTTACGGCTTCTCCTTGCCTTCTGATTTCATTCACCATTTAGATTTGTATTATAACGTTTATCGAGGTGAAAAATTAGCGAATCATTGGACTACAATTGTATGAGTTTTAAGTCATAAATGAATATGACACATTAGAGAACTGATCTGCTCTCTACCTTCGTTCAGTCTTTATTCACTGGGTTGGATGATGTTCGTTAATGTCTTGATTGCCGTTTATTGGTTGATGTGTCAACCGGTTAATAGTTCTGAAATGGTTGAGAACACTTCACTTCTACCTGAAGTTTGTGCTGATGATGTCGTTCAGAAGAACGACGAAAGCTCCACGACCAAACCATCCAGCTTAGAGAACAAAACTCCATCAAAAGTTTAATAGTTCATCAATCGTATTAGGAATATAGGTGAACTAATCTATAATCGGACTAGAGAGTAATCATGCAACTGCTTTCCTACCATTACGGTCTGATCACACTTGACTTAGTATAATTCAACACAAAAAGACAACCTTTTGTTTTTTTCTGACATAACAGTGGCGACAGGGTTGGTCTACGAGCTTCACCTTTTTTCGTTACAACTGCCTGGACCCAGTTTTCAGTTCAAGTTACCACTCAAGTCCAGGTTTCAGGTATAACCAAACTCATGTTTTTCAAGTCTCAGAGATCTAAAAAATTGTTATTTTCAGTCACAAAAACAAAATCAGTCTTCCAATTTAATGATGTGTTCAATAAATCTCGTTTACTTCTTATCAGTTCATTGAAAGAATATGTGCTCAAGTAACTAAATTTAGAATCACTCAAAAATTATATATATATATATATATATATATATATATATATATATAATCTGGTAGATTTCCATCTGAAATATAGGACGGTTGCGATATAGAGAAAGAGGTCATCAATATCCTCAGTAAGATAAAATCTGGCCAATGTTTAAATATTCTTATATCAGATCCTGGTCATCCTAACGATCTAATCATGTCAAGTGACAGTCAAAATTATTGTGAGATAAATGTCATGAAATCCTAAAATAAAGCACAGCGACACCAACCAAATCACACTTGGTGGAGAGGCGGAAAGTTTACGTACCAGAGCTGCATTATTGATAAAGTAAGAGAATCTGATACAGATGTGAAGCCACGGATTGGCAAAGTAAAGACAGCATTCCTACGGTTGAAGAACATGTAAAGCTCAAAACAACTGTCAGCCAAAGTCGGGTTCAGGATTTACAGTGCAAACATCATGACAGTTCTGTTGTGCGGAGTTAAAACCTAGGGAACTACTACATCAAGAAGGTACAGGTATTTATAGACAATTGTCTACGTGCGGTACTCCAGGTTTATCTACCAGACACAATCAGCAATAACCTACTGTGGCGGGCAGCAAACCAGATGAAGAGGAAATTAGGAAAAGACGTTAGAGGTGGATAGGGCATAAATTGTGAAAATCATTAAGCTGTATCACAAAGCAGGTCCTATCTTGGAATCCTCAAGTCAGAAGGAAAAAAGGCAGGCCGAAAAACACAGCTCCGGAAGTCGGATACAGACATCGAGATCATGAGTAGCATTTGTGAACCATTGGAAATGTAAGCCCAGAATAGAGTGGGTTGTAGAATCCTGGTCGGCCACCTATGGTTCACGAGGGTTAGCAGGCGTTGGTAAATGAGCAAGTATGAAGCTTCTATATATTATTCATGGCAGCGAAATCATCGAGTAACTAACCATATTATCCTGTTTACTACTATCGCCGGTTGTATTTGTATCAAAGGTGGCTATTCTAAACAGTTTCGGCTGCAGTCAATAAATTTACTTATCACTGGTCAAGCAGTGTTTGGGGTGTTGGTTCCTACTAAAGCTTTCATCGAATAACCAAAATAACATGGGTATTTCGACAGACTGGAAAATGCAAACCTTTATCTTGAACTACCAGTGTAGATTGGCTTCTTTTTTTCATATATAGGAGCGATTATCGTCTATAGTATATTGTTTCCTAAATTTATTTACTGTTAAGTTCCCAATACTTTTATTTTGCGAGGTAACTATGTCCATCTAAATATTGTAGTAGTATTTAGTCCTTTTTAGCTTTATTTATGAAGTAATTGGTTTTTGTTCAAACCTGTAATTAGGTTTGCTGAGGATGGTACTTATTCTGAAAAAGGTTGGCCATCAAATGCTTATGGTGTGTCTAAAATAGGCCTTACAAAGGCCTCATTTATTTTTGGTGAAATGCTGAAAGATGATCCAAGAGAGATTGTGATAAATTCGGTTAGTTTGTTTTGTCGATATTGTGATGATTCGTGTTTATTTTTGTGCAAATCGTTCTTATCTTGGGATTAGAATAGTATTCGTTTCGTAAAATAAAATACTAAGTAATCTAGTGATTATATACAAATTCATTAATAATTCAAATTAGCTATATTTATCCATGATGAAGTAACTGATTATCTTGTTATTATGTGTTGCATACTTTCTCCAAAATGTGTGAAGCCGTAATACGTGCTTGTAAGTCTTTTTGAGCCGTAAGACTTGGTTGTCTTGATCTTATTGGTTTGTTGATATCTTGGCGTTATAACGCTCGGTTTTCCCATCTATATGAATGGAAAGTTATTTTATCTTAGATGAATATCTACACCAGATACCCTTCCAGTGTCTATTCTACGGGACATCAACACAACTCAGATCAGGAACCTGTGACTATCCTGACTAAAACGTAAGTATATTTCCACACCAAAAACCGGCATACACAACAATAATAACAAGGGTAGGGAAATATATAACTCACCTAATACCTTTCAGACTATCTACTAGTCTGACTAAGCAGATGATCAGTCATTATTTTCCTCGCCCATACATCACTTAGTTCTTGAGATTCTAAAATAAATGACCCAAACATCATAACAACCCTATTTGTGTAATTAAATTGCACAAAATTTTCGTCGCATTGTTATAGAGAGTTTTATTAGAAACTTTTATTGCGTTTGAAATGAACTGTTGTTTAGATTTGTCAATGTTCACGGGTGCAGTTTTTTCCGTAAATTTTTCCACGACATTATAAAATCGATTTTGGCTCTTTATGTATTAATAATTGGATGAATGTAAACACTATACTATTTACTACTGAAAAAACCAACGATATCATTAGAGTTTATGTCCGCATTCGTTAAGATTAAAACGAACAATTCGTTTTTAAACCTTATTTATCTTTGATAGTCCTGATTTTGGTTATTTCCCTGAAGAAACTCAAGTGAATTTGTCGGGTGAAACGCTGCAATTTTATAAATATCAGTTGGCTAAGGTTATTTCAGACATAATATTTACAGATAGTAAAAGGATTAACTTAGCAGGAAAATTCCTCTATATAAAGCAAAAATAGTCTGCTGGAGTTTTCTAATAATATTGTCACATTTTAAAACTTGACTATTCTCATTAGTTTACTTTAGAAATATCTATATAAAATTTAGATGAATTACCTTGGGTTTGTAGAGAAATGGTGCGTGTTCCAAATGCGGCTCACCATTTTCGTGGGGCTAAGATTTGATTCCCATTTATATCAGATGAATGACTGTTGTCAACATATACATCTTGTCCATCCTCGTATGTAATGCATCACTTAATCCGCGTTGATGAATAACGGAGTCGAATAAGTCAAATACGAGGATGGATTTCGAATACATATATTTTGTACATTCATTGATCTGGACAGGAAATTAGAGGGATAAAGCGAATATGAGAGGGCGAAGCAAAACAACACGCACTAGAGATGTCGGTTAAGCCAATTCGCTTTAATCAAGCGTTAATCAATATTTATAGTCAGATAAAAATAAATAGACATGTGATGAATCAGATAAAAAGTGTACACACATATACGCTCATATAAAAAGTAGTCAGGGTTGATAAGTGACTCAAGATGGATAGGTAAATTGGTTTGTCCAGAAGCTAAAATGAGGTATATGTGCTTAACATATCAACCGACACTACAAGTTATCATGTATGATTTCTGGATTGGTAGTCAATAGTATCCATTCTTTATTTGCAATCAGAGTAGCATAGAATGAGAAATAATTCAACCACATCATATTATATAAATTTATCGTTCTTAGTTAACATAATAATCTCAGTAGTATAGTTATCCTTTGTCTCTAGAAGCTAACAATCTGTATTTAACTTACTTCCACTATTTTCTTTGGGTTTGATATTTTTTTAAGCTCTATGTGTTTATGGTTAGTTTTGAGAGCATTTATTTATCCTAATTTCCTAGTTAATTAGTTCTAACGAAGTGATCTTTCAAATGCGCGTTGTTTGGAGTTTCAACATATGCACCTGTTAAGGGAAACAATATTCTTATCCCATGTACTTAAATTTGATTCTTAAGATTATTTCCTGTCGAATTTATGTCCATAAATGTTTTTCCACGTAATGACCACATACGTGGTAAAACAATTTGTTAATGTTAAAATTAAATTCCGTTTTTTTTAAAAGTTGGTTTCCAGATTAAAATTACTAGGTTTTCATTACATCTGATATAAACATATCAAATAAATTCATTCTGAATTTTTTTTAATCTGACAGTGTTGTCCTGGTTATTGCGATACTGATATGACTAGTCACAAGGGAACCAAAACAGCCGATGAGGGTGAGTGTTCAACCGTTTCTTTAGTCAGAACCCGTAAACGTTGGCATATCTTTTGTCTTTTTTATTTTTGTGATTTAGTTAATACTTGAGGAACTTATTCACACTCCTCATGTCAATAGAAAATAGATATGACTGACAGTCGTGATATAGACAGATAGCTAATTGCCAAAAACTCACTAATAACACAGGTGTTATTTTCGTTTTCAATCATTTTTATAATGACTACACATAACATATGTAACCAGTTAGTAAGCATATTTACTTATTTTACTTATTGTGTGTAAGAGGTTTAGTTATGATAAAAAGACATATTCTCTCTAATATATTACCTACATAATTTTGAAAGGACCGTCCGAAGTACCTCGTACACAACTGCTAGCTTAAAAAGTAAACAAGGCAAATCTATCCACGCTAACAAAACTCATGAATTTAATATTTCTAACTTCGTTAGTGTTGTCGCGGTAATCACACAATTAAATGACCTGTAAAGTCTAGTGATGAAGAACCCAAGTTTTTCTGAAAATGCATGGGATGGATTAGAAACTTCACTTTTCTAAGGGCTACTGTATTTGCCGTGTTCTCATAATCATAGAAGTCTGCTTACTAGAATCGACTCAAGGCTACTTATAACAACATGGAATAATCAAATAACAGCTGTTAGTTGTCGAAATTACAGTAGCAGACAATATCAAAAGTAGGGCGAAAAACACCAGAAATCTTAGTTTGTATAATAAAACAGACGTTCAGTGAATACACGTGAATCTGGAGTAACTTATTCAAGTATGTATAAAATGCAGTTATAACAATAAATTGAATGTTATCAATTCATGTAAATACATAGAAACATTATACAATAACTGGTAGACATAACACTCAGTGTATTCAAAATGACTGAGGATAAAGTCTAATCTCGTTCGCAATTAAGATCTTGTACGTGACAACCAAAAATATGAGGCATGGATCATAATTAATGCTATCGTAGTCCGTGATAGAAAGAGTGTTCCGTTCTTTGTCGCTTTTGTCGTCTTACATGAAAAATCTAAAATTTTCAATGACGCAAACGCCACTCCACCATGCTACGGTGTCAAGTGTAGCACAGTCATTCACGATACGAGAAAGACTGCAACTCAGCAAAATTCGTACCTCCAACTAATTCTGTTATGGAAACTATTTCAAAATATCTACGAGTGAGTGACCAAATAAACTAACACATAAATGTAGTTACTGATCACTATGCACTTAGATAACAACATATAGTTTATCTCCAGTCCTCAACAGTTATTAGAAATAAGACTGATCCCTAAGAATCAGTAAGCATTATAATACAGTATACAGAAGAGAAATGGAAAAAAAGAGAATAAAGACAGAAAATGTAGACCTGTCAATCATAATACTAGTAGAATGTAGTGGAAGTTCCACAGATTTTATGTAAATGACAGAACGGGCATAGTATTATTAAATTAACACTAAATTATAGTAATAATGTAGTATGGTAATTTAAATATTTTGTTACAATAATTAAAATCACTAAAGGAATTGAATGATACGATATCAAAAACACTTGGTTATAAAATAATGAAGACACAATAAATCATATCAAATAAGGGAATTTTTTCAAATAAAAGATCAAATAAATAAAAGGTTAATTATTGATTTTTTTTATGCAGAGAAACCTATCTTATCCTTGTTTTTAACGTGACCTCACAACGTTATGATTATTATATTTCCATAGTTGAAAACGTGAATCAATTGAAGCTAGACCACCAGGGTAAACCTGGAAGCTTTCAACTATGAAAATACTAAGTTTCCACAAAACCCCTTTTGATATTATATTTTCATTGAATTAATTTTTTATTTGCAAAAATTTCCCCCATTATTTCTTATCATATCGTCGAAATTTTACACGTAATTATTTCTGATATCATTCCATTTAATCCCTCCAATAGTTTTAATTATTGTGACAAAAATATCTTATATATAATAATAATTATCTTTTTGTGATGTCCTGATCAGTAGAAAATTGTATTTCCGACGTTTCGTGACTTAATGTAAGTCACTTCTCCAGAGTAAATACATAAATAACCTAAATAAATCAACATACGTTTATGTAGTGAAAAGAAAACAAAGAATATTTTTGTCATGATTTCTCTTATTGCAACCCAGCTACTCTTATTACTTAGTATTATTGGATACTACTTCACTTGACAAGCCTCTATATCAGAACACGATTGAACAGAAACGTAATTATATTCCAAATAAAAAGGGTGAAAATCACAATAAGAAAAACATTAGTATATTTATAATTTCTACATGAAAAGAGTCTTCTCCAAGCATCCACTAGCGTTGATTGGTTAAGAAATAGTTGGCGTGCTCTAACGCAATCCTGCACGGAACATGCTTTATCTAATGTATATTCCTCTAACAATTTTTAGTATAATCAAAATCATAGCAGGTCTAAACATGTCAGCGGCTTGTTAATTTTGGTTAAGGTGATTCCGAATGAGGCATCACCGTGTTTAATTGTGTATATATAATGGTGGGTATAAAAATGCATAATTTGTACCTGAGTCCCATCACCATTCACATAGACCCTTCTCCCACCAATCAAAAGCGTCTTTCTATCCGGCCAATAAAATGCCTATTATCGTACGCATAAAAGTAGGAGATTTGGTTCGCTTTTTTCTTCAGTGCAATTGACAATCCATATAACAACCCTAACGATACATCGTCCGTTCCCATAGACTAAGGAATGGATTTCCATTCATTCGGACCGTTATAGAACACCACTTTCCTTTCAACATTTCTTTCCTCATTTCATACAGTCTAGCATGCAGCCAGTAGCCACTCCTTAAAAATAAGTGAAACGCACAACGCAACACAGGACATTTATGGTTGAGGCTGAACATCACCCTGTGCGTTGTGCCACGAAGTTCGTGTTATTTTACATTAAGAGCATTTCTCGTGGGTTATTTTTCGGATTGTTGAAAAATGTTGGATTGTCGTCTTCAATATCGTTTTTGTTAGAGTTGAATCTACACAAATTTATGTATTAAAGGAAGTTCACACTTGCCGTTCAGTGTTTTTCGTATACATTAGACAAAGAAATAGTCGAATTGTTTTAGAGGAGATATTTTATGAGTGACTTATTAGTTAAACGCGGTAAATGTACCTCTCACGAAGGAGATTGCATATTATATGTATTCTACATAATTCAGTCAGTCAGTGGTCTTGAGGGCTGTTAGAGGTATGGGGGTGGTTTTCACTTCCCAGTTGCCCACACCGTAGAAGGGTTCTTCTGGAGGTACCTAAAAAAATAATTGGGTTACAGTTGTTCTTCGTGACTTGAGAGCGTGACCGCAGTGTCCAAGAGACAGCTGCTTGAGGTCGGTCGCACATGACCTTTTCGTGGGTAACTTTCGTGTTAGCTCCGTACTTGTTGGGACCTTACCGCCGGAGACGGATATCCGTGGGACAAGGCGTGATGTGTATTTTTAGGGTCGAGCTTTTCTAACTTCACCCTTCCTTTGTGAGAAGGTAGTATCACTGTCATACTGGTTGTCTGAGAGATACACCTTATTACCGTCACATCTCTGTACAGTCAGCAGTACGAATTCACCCTCGGACCTTGGGTTTGATGCTTTTAGTCTTACTGTCTTTCAGCCGACCTGTTTGGCACAATAGGACCTTGAGGAACGATTGTCCCATCCAGTATAGCCCGAATGGTTCATCACGATAGAGAGCCCAACCATCACGCCAAGGTGGCATCAACAGTCGGGATTTTACATAACACATTATGTGCTTCCGAAAACTTGGTAGATAGTGCATTGTCTCTGGTGGGACTGTCGTCATTGATGGAAAATCCCACATGTATCCCTGACGAAACACTATCTTAAAAAAAGACTAAAAACTTGCTAGTCAACTCGGAAGTTTCTCTCCGTAAACCTAAATGCTACTGGCATTGCCTTCATGAAGGCATCTAGTGCCACTGTCTCGTATAGAAACATACGCTTACTGTAATTGTAGGTAAAATCAATATCTATGGCATCGGAAAATCGACAAGCTACATTGTTTTGCTTTAATTTCGGAAAAAATGTACTATTGCAGAAAACCGTTCACTTCACAATGTGCCTCAAAATTACATACGGCGTAGAGATAATAATCAAGGTTAGACTGACCTGGGATTTCCTATCGTTCAAATAAACTGTCGCATATCAAAAACGTCTTTAGTGATTATTTTATTTCCGTAACTTTTATATACGAAATCGATGGCAACAAAAGCTACAGGTCCGGATATCGATAAAGAACGAATCATTTTCTTCTGTTCGGCCGTCAAGCGACAAAAGTGAGGGTCTTTCTCATAAGTGATACTCAGTAGCTCGTGATTGTGACTCACTGACCATCTGGATACTGCATTGAAGCTTAATATCAGCTGAACAAATACATAGAATTCACGAACACTACCAACATGATGTCTAGACCAAAGGATAAGACTTTGCTTTGAGATAAATATTTATGTCGCTTGAGTTGTTGGTCGCAGAGGGTAACAACTACGCTGAGTAAAACTGATATTCCTGATTAATCTTTTGACTGAACTCTCGAATCGGTTTTCTAGGCTCTTCTAGTAACCCCCAGGCTAAATTTACACGACAACTTGAATACGGGAGAAAAAGCGCGAACTATAGAAAGAACGCTTTACTCAAAAGTTAGTTTATGTACACAAAATCGGGGGTATTTATAGCGTTTCAAACGGCTCTGAACTTCTGGAAGGTTCTCTAACCCTACCAAACATAGTAGCAGAATAGGTAATCATCCAATCAGAAATGTTGACACATGAATCTTCACTTTCTACATGTTTCTGAGATACTTTTATTCGATGCTGGCTGAATAAAGTGTTTGCCAACCTTTCCAGGGCCCCTTTGGATATTTCCGAGAAGTATTCTGGGTCTCCTCAACACCTTCCTTTTTTCGAAAAATAAGACTTATTCGGGTCTACTTGCAGCTCGATAACTGGTCTACCGCGGCGTTCCGAATTACCTGTTGTCCTCCGACTATGAACGTCCCTGGGGGTTCCCCTGTCATTGGGTTATCTGCAATTATCTCCATTGGGTGACTCACTCGTCTGTCTATAGCGGTCAACGTTCTTTTTTCTCTGTGGATTTGGTTGATGTATCTAATACACCTTCCAACTGTCCCACGCACTTTGTACAAAACATTTCCCATTCAATGACTCCAGGTTCCTATCGATTTATTCCAAGGTATGACTTGATGATCATTATATCACCCACGTTAAAACTCGGGATAATCTGATTTTGTCTGCGTTCATCCATTGGTTTAGGTGGCAACATGGCGCCGAGTAAAGTTCGAATACTTCTTCCGAACATAGCTTCATCAGGGGACTTTCCACCTGGGACTATACGGTCAGGCCTAGTTTTATAAGCTGTTAAGAATTTTGTAATTACCTGACTTGTCCCCCCCATCCCCTTCTTTGAGTAATGCTCTTTTGAATGTATCAACAAAGCTCTCTGCCTGTCCATTTGATTGGGGGTGATAAGGTGGAGAGTGTTTATGTGTAGTTCCATTGATGCTGCAAAAGTACTTGAATGATTCTGAAGTGAATTGTGAGCCGTTGTCGGTCACCAAAGTCTCCGGAACTCCAAGTTAGCTAAACAATTCAGATAACTTGCTGATCGTTTCACTGGTTGTGCAATTTGCCATAGCATAGATTTGTGGCTATTTCGTAAGTGCATCTACTATGACTAAAAACAATTTTCCTCAAACTGGGCAGGCAAAATATGCATGTAGCCTTTCCCAGGGATTATTAGGCTTATTTATTGTTGTGGTTCACATTTCTTTAAACTTCTGGTTGCTTGCAGATAAGATGAGCAATCGCGGCATTTTGTTTCGATATCTTGATCCATTATAGGCCAGTAAGCAAAGCTTCGAGCCAACAATTTCATCTTGTTGATGCCGGGATTTCCACTGTGGAATTGTTTCAAAACCTTTTGGCGTTATGTTGTCGGGAAATAATACATGAGTCGAAAATCATGAGTTAGTCCCGTTGGCGAAAATATTGTAGCAGGTCCCCTTGAAAACGACAGTTTGGCCACTTGGTGAGGAGATAACCCCTAACTTCTCTTAATTTCTTGCCATCTTTCGTAGCTTCTTTGATAGCTTTAAACGTAACTGGTAAACCATCCGCTGCTTCTTCAAATTCTCGTTGTACTTCTGTTTCCGTCTCAATTGCTGCCACCAAAGTATCTTCACGTTTCACTTGTGAACCAATTAGTCTGGACAAGGCATCAGCCTGCCCAAAATGAGTAGTGGGCTGGTGCCTAATCTTGAAGTCATAGCCCAAGAGTGTGGTTTCTCACCGTTACAGTCTGTTTTCGTCATGTAGCGGAATTCCTTTTTTGACCCAAATATGGCTAGAAATGGCTTATGATCAGTTAAGAGCGTGAACTGATGTCCAAATATCATCTTATGAAACTTCTTTACAGCGAAGATAATTGACAATACTTCCTTCTCTATCAGACTGTAGTTACGTTCTGCTGTAATTAACGATCTAGCTGCATGTGTTATCGCTTTCTCAGGTCCATCGAGGATGATGTGAGAAATAATTGCCCCAATGTCGTAGTTCGAAGCATCTGACACTACCACAATAGGTAAGGGTGGACTGTATTGGGTAAGCGACAGATCCGAGACTAGTAGTTTGTTTATTTCCTCAAAAGCAGTCTGACAACTTTTAGACCAATCCAATTTTATATTCTTTACCAGAAGCTTATTTAACGGGGCACATAAGGGATGAAGGTTAGGAATAAAGGCACCATAATAGGTCCCATAGAAGGGTCGTAGTGTGGGGACATCCGTTGGTCTAGGCGTAGCTTCCACTGCCCGGGTATTCTCTGTGTCTTCCTAACAATTCCTGAACCAAATCCTTCACCTTTATGGGTACAATAATGAACATTTCATTGACCGGATAAAATGTCGCTTTTGTTTGATGGGAGAAGGGTCTAAGTGAATGTTGGTAGGATGCAGGGAGCTTAGTTAGCTAACATTGAGTTGTGGTGTAAATGGAATAGAAGTATCAAAACATTTTTTCAAAATCATTAAAATCGGAGTAGTTAAACGTCATGGTACTAATATTTGCGTGTAGTCAGTTTGAATTACATAAGAGATATTCAATTATTATTTTTATAATAATAAAATCGATATGTAAATCCCTCTTCAGCAATCCTGTTTTGATAATTGATTAACAAGTTTCTTATATGTATCAATAATTTTGTTGATAAATGAACCATTAAAAAGGACAGAAAACTGTCGATGCATACATACAAATATTTGTGTATTCATATTCATAAAATATTTAGTTTGCTTTATTGTGCATCACAGAACTATTCAACATCTTATAGATTCGTATAATTTCGTCTACGTACCTCTTTTTTCACAATATAACCCAGCTACGACACTTCATATTGAAACTAGCTGTCAGTTGCGCAAGTCTCGAAATTGTAACTCCTACATCTTTTGTCGTGAAATAAATCTTGTTGAATGTTTTATTTTTCAGAATATTTCCAAATATAACAAGGCTTCATTTTTACGAAGGATAGCAGTATGTCTCTGAAGTTTCTTTTGGTCATTATCTTGTTCGTATTTTTTGAGAAATTCCGTCATCTGTCAGTGATTTGCATTTGATTGATATTAAGTGTTTGTTTTGTTTATTGCTTTAGGTGCTGATACACCTTTCTATTTGGCCACTTTACCTGTTGGATCAAAGGAGCCAATTAATCAATTCGTTTACGAAAGGAGGGTGATTAAGTGGTCCAAATGACCTTCAGGCTACTTTTACGTTTCTCAGAAATGTGAACAGGATGTTATTAAATCTCAGTAATATTGACTATCTGAATCACAATATTTTCTCAATGTTATTCCTCTACGAATAGAAATGTTCCTTATCTATTACTGCGTTGTGCCTTGGTTTATCACATGTTATCAATGGATTTATAACTTGAGTTTATCCAATTCCTTTCACTGAGATTCATCCCCATATTAAGAGTTCATTCCGGCCGAAACATATGATTTCAGTGTGCTTCTTACGTGATGTATCTTATTTCTTCACTGTATGTGATCGTTTAAACATCTGTATTGCTATTTGAACATGATTCTTACTACTTAACGGTGTTAGTACATAGACGATGCAACCATACAGATAGGCTAATAACCTAGTCTTTATGAAATAGATGTACAACCCTGTTATCCATCGATCACGTGATATTTCTTAGTTCTTGATTTGGTGACTCACTTTTAAGGTATGTTATTTTTATTTAGAATACATTGACTATCGTACAACATGAACCGAAAACATCACGCAAATGTATAAACCACCCTGCTAAGTGATAAAAGCCATAGGGGTCGTGCGATCAGTAGATGAGCACGAGGAGTGTTTAACTTTAGAAAAAATACAAAATACGTTACTTTCTTTTTGTAACTCCAACCTTTCATGTATTACGTATATATAAGCTTTCACAACCAGACTAACATCACGAAGGCACTAACAACTGGTCAGGTTGACATAAGCCACTGTCGCTCTTATTGGTAAATTTATGTTGTATCCGATCACTGACAAGAGTACAGACATCTCATTTACTTCCAACTGTTTCCCAAAAGGAGTATTTCCAGTCAGAATCCTAGTTTACAAGCAATACTAAACTTTTTGAAGCTGGGGATTATATGCTTTGTCTACGAGTACTAATTGTCCGATAAATATATGCTATGTGGGTGGCCGTGATCTCAGTCATGCAATTTTATTCGCTTGCTTAGACTCAAAGATTCGTTATAGTAATATTCACACAACTACATCGGATTCTCCTCAGATCTGTCTGTGGACCGACCTCAGTGGGAGAGTTGAAAAATTAGTGCGACCTGTCATCCCTTTCGTCTGATCTGGTAGACTGGAACAGGGCGCCAACTGTCCTTAATAAAATATCCTGAAACACGGTATTTTCTTGATATCGAGAAACTCAACGAAAACTAGTGTTTTGTTGGTAACCCTGTGTCTCAGAATTCAATGGGGGTGAGGATGTATTTCAACCAAGACCTGGACAGAAACACTTCAGTATGAAGTAAAGCATTAGGCATCAGAACTGTATCCTGATTACTGTTGTATACATTGTAGGTAGGCATTTTTTTAGTGGTTATAAATCCATCTGAGTGGGATAAAACGCTCAGCACCCTAGACCTCTTTGGACCAGTTCTCGAACTAAACATTCACTATAAAAGAATTTGAGACTTGCTATCGGCGCTGAGTGAGTTGTGGCGTGCTGCTAACTGCATGGTCTGTTTAGCACATGCTTTTCGTCCCAGTACTTACCACATCCAGCTTTTTAAAGCACTCCTAAGCTTTGGGTCTTCGTACAGATACAACTTAGTGAACTTTTTCAAGCAATGACCATCTTACGGGTAGCAATTGTCGTGATTCTTGGAGTGCTGGGTTCTCTGTGAGGAAATTGGTTGATGGTTATTAGGAGGTTGTAAATAATCTAAAAATATCCGGGCTTCTCACGATGTGCCGAGCTACTTTACTTTCCGTTTTTTACGGCATCGCATAGACCTAGTTATTGATTTTGTAGTTAGCCTTAAACGTAGTTTGACTTGATAGTTATTGCCAGACTATTTTGCTTGTACGCGTATGCGGGTTCGTGAAAAGTCATAGACAACGGAAGAAAGTGTATGGCACAACTGGTTTTAATAATAATTTGTTTCGATTATACCGATCACGTTCTGGTCATAAAAGTAGGTCGCTACAACATTTTCATTAACACAGGGAGCATAGCTCTTATTCATCCAATATCTTTAAATTTTTGGATCAGTACGTTACAATACGACTACTGTGGTTGCAATACTGACGATTGCTAGACAAGTTATGTATGCGAAGATGCTGTGAATTGTTAGTTACTAACGATAATTCCCCACATATTATTGGTAGGTTTTTATTCAGTGAAATAGGATGTCAGTACTGGGATTAAGGAATTCGAAAATACTTAAGTTACGTCGTCTTTATTAGCTACTGGAGACGATTTTGATGCTTTACTTGAAGGTTTGGTAGTCGTGCGCAGTAAATACAGTGCAGGGATTAGAATTTAGCCTGTAAAACTTTAAGTATAGGATGCTCCAGTCTTTCTTAATGATATGACGACATAAAAGAAAGCAAGATCGCACTACTCGACTCATTGTGATTTTCGTTCATCATTATTCTCGTACTTTAATCTCATTTGACGATCATTCAAAGAATATTTGTCTGTTTTTCAGTGTGATGTTTTATTTAGTATAATGTCAGTTTTTTAGTGCGATATTTATTCAAGACACAATATACCTGTATGAGATTAAAGTGAACTATGCTTAGCATGACTTTCAGTGACTTGTTATAACTCTGGGTATGTGATTTCATTCTAATTAATATTCAAAATGGATAAACAATAGTATATATTGATTGTATTTTCGATTATGGTCGTCGTGTTTAGGGAAATGTTCACTTGTATCAACTTTGGTGTGTAGAAGTAAATAAATCCCCATAGTAAATAGCTCTGTAAGTCTTCGAAATTTAATACTAACCTCAATAATTTTAATGGACTTATATAACTGCAAGCATCTGGTCACGCATTTGCACCAGATCACGAGTGGGTACGCCATGCTACACGTCCCATACAATCGCTAGCCGACTTAGAACAAACATTTCTACATATTTCTAAAGCTTGTAGTGTCGTCGAGTCGAGGATGGACTATGATCTCTACTACGATACGATTACGCGCCTAAAACGACTTGGTTCATTTGATAACTCGTAAACCAGAAGGCTTTAATTAGTCCAGACCAAGTATATTTATTGGCGATCTCGTGGTATCGAAAGAATGCCGAGACGTGCCAACGAGTACAGGCGAAATGGGCAGAGCGTAGAAAAGTTCGAACCAAACAAGGCGGATAGCGGAAGAAGAAGTGAGTCTGATACAGTTAAACAAATACAGTAAAACAATCTCTGGTACAATTGGTTACAATAATAATAATTGTTTCTGTTATTCCAATCGTGCTCTTATCGAGACAGGCCGGTCACTACAAACTTACCGGATATATCTGGGTTGGCATATTTCGATTATAAGAAGTGTTAATGGTTAAGGCGTCGTCAAATTTCCAATACTTGTGACATCATTAGGTGTTTTTACTTCGCATCGTGGTAATTGCAGTGGTTCATTGTTCTTTCAAGTATAAAAATAAGCGATGCGTCCATGATACTTGGAAGACGACTAATTTCTTATGGTATCCATAAAACAGTATAAAAGTTATTGAAAGATTTGTGTATGAAGAGTATAATTGAACAAATCCAGTCTTTAACATGGGGTACTTTTATTTTATGCCCTTGAAGTCTGATGGCAAGACCCCTAGAATATGTGGTAATTAAAAATTAACACTGAACTTTTGTCTGTCGAAGCAAAAGTGCACGACTGTGAAAGCTGAAGATATTCCTGATCGACCTCATGGTTCTAAGATATTCTCGAAAGATGCTTAATTCCAAATCCTATGAATAAGTCTCCATCTGTTTTAAAAACAATTAGCCCTTATTTCGGTCTATTCAAATACAACCTTCTTTCATTTGGTTTAAGTTGTTCTTCAACTATGTTTCGGGAAGTGATGAATAATGTAGTCAGTGATCTCAAAGGTGTGTAAGTCTATCAAGATGATCTTTTTCTTCATACCTCTGATATAGTAGCTCATGACCAGACATGCTGTTTCGTTGCGTTGTTTAATTAAGAAGAATATTACAATGAATCTAAATAAGTGTTCATTTTGTGTATCTAGTTTTGAATATCTTGAACACCTAGTTGACGTTAAGGGTTTTAAAGCAGGTGTGAATCGACTAAATCCTCTGACAAATTCATCATCTTACAGAACTGCGTTCACCGATGGGTACTCTTCACTAAACTTATTTAATAAAATGCACATTTTACACAAACTTCTGGACTGTAGCTGTAAATAATTCCCCAAAATCAATAGCTTTTTAAGTGTTCGACATTGGATGCTGACCACATTAGTTTTAGTAGGCTTGTTTAATTGAAGGCGTTCGGTCATACATCCGCACCAGATCACGTTACAGCAAAGCGTGGGAAAAATCTCCTACGATCACCAGCCAGATTATATCAACCGCTTCTCGGTATATTGATAACACATCAAATATAACTTTCCAACCTCTTCGCTTCCGATTTTAACTGAGTGGGGGACGATTTGATTATAGAAGGTGTTACTGGTTAATAGTTGTCAAGCTACAATACTGGTGGTATCTTCAGGACTCAAGGCTGAAGCTTATTGTTAATGTTCTCAATAGTATAAGTCTAGATTATCCTTTGTTTTGGACTTTTCAGTTCCATAATTTGAAACTGTCTATATATTCTGTAAAAATGAAGATGTTTGAGATTTAAGCTGGTCTCCAGGGTTGACAGTATATGATGGTCTTCGAAAATACAAAGCATTGGTTCATTTACTGGTAATATGTACGTTAAACAAGGGTAGACTTCAAGTCCTTTCTATCTATTCTGTTTAGTCATCTAGTTTTCATAAGGTATTTTACCTGGCACTCCGAAAGATATTTTTATGTTGTGCGCTTTTTTGTGAGAAACTTTTCATTTGTCCTTGTCATGTATTGGTAAACTTTCTTAGAAATGATATTTATGATACATTCATTTATCTGCTTTGTTTGTATTTATTTTTAGTGGCTTACATGTTACAAGAAGAACTTAAAATATTTAACTAACGATAAACTACCACAGTGAATATCACTGTTTTAACTGGGTTTCGGATGTATATTTTTTCAATCAAACTTTGGACTATTTCATTCACAATTTTGAGCTTCAGCTTTTCCGTTTCACATCGTTTAGTTATAATATTTCAGAAAGTTTGCTCTGGAAACCTAGTC